AGTGGTGGCACTGGTCACCGTATCCACTGTTAGCGTGAATAATAACCTCGCTTTTAAGGACACTTTCGACTGCTATTCAATCTATAACAGTGAAAAAGTGTTTTTGTTTTAAATACAAGCTTTGTGTCACCAGATCTAAGCGGTGGCACCAATAATTTATCCACTGTTAGCTTAACACACCGCTTTAAGGACACTGACTGCTATTCAATCTATAACAGTGAAAAAGTGTTTGTTTTTAAATACAAGCTTTGTGTCACCAGATCTAAGTGGTGGCAATGGTCACCGTATCCACTGTTAGCGAACACACCCACTTTAAGGACACTGACTGCTATTCAATCTATAACAGTGAAAAAAGTGTTTTTTGTTTTTAAATACAAGCTTTGTGTCACCAGATCTAAGTGGTGGCAATGGTCACCGTATCCACTGTTAGCGTAACACACCCGCTTTAAGGACACTGACTGCTATTCAATCTATAACAGTGAAAAAAGTGTTTTTTGTTTTTAAATCCAAGCTATTGTGACACCAGATCTAAGTGGTGGCACTGGTCACCGTATCCACTGTTAGCGTAACACACCGCTTTAAGGACACTGACTGCTATTCAATCTATAACAGTGAAAAAAGTGGTTTTGTTTTTTTAAATCCAAGCTTTGTGTCACCAGATCTAAGTGGTGGCAATGGTCACCGTATCCACTGTTAGCGTAACACACCCGCTTTAAGGACACTGACTGCTATTCAATCTATAACAGTGAAAACAGTGTTTTGTTTTTTTAAATCCAAGCTTTGTGTCACCAGATCTAAGTGGTGGCACTGACTGGGGAAATGGGCACAGTATGCACTGTGAGCCTGACACAGAAGCTGGCAGCAGTGGCAGACAACTGACTGCTATTCAATCTATAACAGTGAAAAAAGTGTTTTTTTTTTTAAATCCAAGCTTTGTGTCACCAGATCTAAGTGGTGGCAATGGGCACAGTATGCACTGTGAGCCTGACACAGAAGCTGGCAGCAGTGGCAGACAACTGACTGCTATTCAATCTATAACAGTGAAAAAAGTTTTTTGTTTTTAAATCCAAGCTATTGTGACACCAGATGTAAGTGGTGGCACTGACTGGGAAAATGGGCACAGTATGCACTGTGAGCCTGACACAGAAGCTGGCAGCAGTGGCAGACAACTAAGTGCAATTACATTACATAGAAAAAATAAATTAAAAAAAGCATACCCTTATCCCTAACCTAGCTATGCTTTTCCCTATCTTATGAACAGCAGCTACACTTTCCCTCCTCTTACTAAGCATGCAGTTTGAGAATGAATCTAAAATGGATGCCTTCCAGGAGGTGGGAGGGTCTGCTAGGGAGGGTGTGCTGCTAATTGGCTGGAATGTGTCTGCTGACTGTGAGGTACAGGGTCAAAGTTTACTCAATGATGACGAATAGGGGGCGGGTCGAACCGCGCATATGTTCGCCCGCCGTGCCAGCGAACCGTTCGGTACATCACTAATCCCAACCTTTCAGAAATGATTGAAAGTTGCAATCTATAAACTTCCTCTAAAAGCTGTTGAATGTATCTGTAACTCTTTCTGTAGAAAAATATTTTATGATGTTAGCCCTTAGTTTCCCTTGACACACCAACTTCCTTAAGAGATTTATAAGGTTCTGCCATACTCTTATGTTAAAAGCTAAAGGGTGTTGAGCTAAGCAATAACTGGAACAGTCCAAACGGCAGCTAAATCACCGGAGCCGGAGTCTCTCATCCTGTCTCCAAACAGATGAAATTAGAAGGAGTGGTGCAGTGCCTAAAGTCTCCTTAAAAAAATATATACAAAAGCAGGGAGAAAAAGAAAAAAAAGGGAAAATATATAGTGTAGTATGTCACTGTCCAAATTAATAGAATAAAACAAAAGAAATACACTCACAATTTCCTGGAGCTAAAATTGGACGCCTGGGCAGAATAATCCCCGTCTATGGATATAGTGTGGTTCTTGGTGGTTGCAGTCACTCAAATGGTGGAAACATAAGCAGCTCTACGGATATGGGCTTAGGATATTAAAGTGTAGTGTCCACTTGTAAGTATAGATGATGATCTTTTCCCTCCAGAAATATAGGAGAAAACGGAAATAGAAAAAACAAAATAGTGTGTACCATAAGGCACAGAATACAATTAAAGTGGTGAGAAATTTACTTACATTTGATGGAGCAGATGTGGACTGCTCTATCCCTCCGGCTTGGGTGGTACAATCCCCACCACGGATACGGTAAAGGCTTTAAATGCCAGGTGAAACGCGTTAAGTGTATTTTTTATTATTATCTACCTCACTTTGAGTATATTTTTATATTAATTACCTTTATATAAAAGTACTTTTTTTTATTGGACCAACCTTTGCTGCTATTCTGCTCAAACTACCGTATCCGTAGTGAGTGTATTTCTTTTGTTTTATTCCATTTATTTGGACAGTGACATTCTACACTACATATTTCCCTTTTTTTTTTCTCCCTGCTTTTATATCTTTAAGGACACTTTAGGCGCGGCACCACTCCTTGTACTTTCATATTCTTATGTTACATGGAATGGAAAATTTCAAGGGGAATAGGGAATATTTAATTGGCTATCACATATTTATACATTAATCCAATTGGTAATCTTTTTTTCCACTGCATATTAATTCTTAATAATTTACTTAATATTTCTGCCCTATCCTTATGTGGACTTCTTGGCAAAGAATTTAACAAAAATTTAGTTGAGAGCGGAAAACCATAGTATGTGTTTTCTGTGGATACAGTTGCATTCAGTACCATTAAGATGTCTTTAACCTGCAGAATGGAATTTCACAAAACTATTTCTTCTCTGTATTTTGGCTAGTAATATGACTAAATGTGCAAAAGAACTAGACGTTTCCAGGTTAAGGTTTGAAATGTTATGTTTGGTTTATGGATATCAGTTATAAACTTTATGGGATATGTGTAGGTATTTTGGAATCTATAGGTCAAACTCTTTTTAACCGAAAGAGGAAAATAGAATTATTATAGAAAGTAGGTATGTATATGGAAACCAGCAAAGCCAAACTAAATTCAGGTATGAGTCTAGAAAAACAGAAAAGGTTGCAAACAGGATAAGTAAAGCTAAGTAAGAGCCAGAAACAGCATCTTTAACAAGCGAGAGATTATCTGGTAAGGGTATCCAGGTCAGAGCCAGGTAATAGTTCAGAAACAGGATGAACAGGGTTGTAGCAAAAATGATCCCAATGCAAAGGTATTAAGAAACCAGAGTTCCACCTTTAGATAGGGATGTCTTGTACAGGGTTGATGTAACGGATCGATGGGCACCCCGACTGGGTACCTCCGTTGAAGGATGCTCCTAGCGCTTCCTGAGGGCTCCAAGCACTCCAGCCGACACCATAACCAGCATAGACTCCTTCAGTGAGAGCAAGACAGGAACAAGCTCTTACAAGAGCCTAGCAGTGACTATAGCAAGAGAGTATGCAGAGCATAGCAATCCCTTGTAGCAGATACCCCCAATAAGAGACGGCACTCCAAATTGAGGGTGAAGTAGAACTGACTGTACTGGCACATACAGCCTCTTTTATTCACATTCTACAAACAAAGTACTGCCCACAGGGTTTTGAAGAACAACCAATCAACACATTACAACACAGCTAACACTCCCATTCATTACATCAGAAATCCTCCCCTCTGCCTGTGATACAATTATCTCAACACAATAGACTAACTTAATTATCACAGGCAGGAAAATAAAGTATTATAAAAGATATCACAGGGACCCCAAAACATGCAATAACCCCATAAAAAATATATCCTCGGAACCGGGGGACCTGGGTGAACCACATATCCAAAATTCACCCAGGTCCGTTCAGTAGTTTGGAAGATACGGTTTAATGCAGATTCCGCAGAACATATACAGGCTATATGAAAAATAATTACTGTTAAATGTGTCCCCTTTTCTGTAGTTTAAAACTACTGAACGATGTCTTTGTGCACCAAATGCCGGCGAGATGGCACCGTGTAGAAAAGTCAAAACAGTGTCTGTGAGTTAAAATGGCTGCCATCCATTGTTCTCACCATGTACTTCATCCATTGTTCTCACCATGTGCCTCTGATACATGAAATGGTGGCCATCCAGTAACTCCACAGTTTGTCTGGTAGTCTATCCAGCCGAACCAGCAGATGAAACACATGGGGAACGGTGCAACAAACGAAGGGAATCATAAAAAATATGGACAATAGTCATATATGTGCACAATCTCCAGTTTTGTCACAGGGCACAAATAGTGTTTGCAAATGCACAGGGCCATAGTCAGAAGGTAGGAGGCGGGCAAGCAGCCCTCTCCAAGAACACGTGGCGAGGTCTGTTCCACCACAGTTGACTTTACTACTTAAGGGATGATTTGCACTTATCAGAACAGAAGCTCCTACCGATGTTACACAAATATTACACAGTTTCCAGAGTGGCCTGGTGAATTAAACTGAAAGTTTGACAAAAGTTCCATCAGAGCCATCATGGACATGGTGTTTTCTGAATTTCTTTTTGGTCAGAGGGCTTGGTTCCTGACATGTTTGGTAAAAAAAAAAAAAAAAATGTAATATTGTTTATTATGCATGCAGTAGATGCATAGATAGAGATTGCCATTAAGAACCAAATGGCCCAAGTAGAGTATTGTGTTTTTATTTTGTATTTGGTGCAACAACCAGTTCAATATGTTGATATGAAGGATTTTAATATATATCCATACTGTTTTCTGATTTCAATTAGCTTTTTTGTCGGGACTTGTTCAGGTTTGTGAATGACTCATGAATAATATGTTGGAGATGCTGAAAGAATAATACGGTCACTGTTTATTTCTTCTCTGGATGATGATAATTTTGTCAATAATGGCATATAAACTGACACAGTAGCATATAGCTTTCCTAGAATATTACGATACTTGTAGTTCAACAGTGGATGCCTATATTCTATACAATGGTAGTCAGGTATTTCTAAAACAAAGCTTTTTAGGAATTGTTCAGATCTTTGTTGGCTACTTTAATGTCGTTCATTAAATTGCTGGTAAATATTCCTGAGCTCGTTTAAATGAAGAAACTAACTGTATTAACTGGAGTAACTGTTCAAATTAACTAGATGAGAATTGATTGGACAATAAATTATACTAAGAACATAATTAAATGTAACAAAGAGGAGTCAATATACTTCCAAGAACCTTAACACTGGTTAAATTTACATCAGTGACTAATTTTGTCAATGAAGAATGAATGTAGAAGCAGTAAAAATAAAAGTGCATGTATCTCATTATTAACAGCTGCTGTCTGTTGGCTCCAGATGGAGGAACCAATCTTTCTTTCATCTGAAGACAAATAAGTAAATGCATGAGAGGAGCTCTTAAGTCTAGTAATACAAAGACTTAGTCCTAACATTAATATGTTACTCTAACCCTACTCCACCCCCCTACTGTAAAGGTGAAATAACCCTTTATTTACTTACCCAATTTCAGGTCCGACATACCCGATTCCAGTCCATTGGGTTGCAATCCCTGGCAAGCCTCCAATGTAACCTAGGCACAATCTCTGACCAAATAATAATATTGCCCGGGACCAGACACCGCAACCTTTCCACATCCTGCTTTATACTTTGTACCAGCAGCCTCTGTGGCACCTGCCCTAAATCATTCCCACCTGCGTAGTTTAATAACAAAACAGGTGATTGTCCTGAACCCAACCTCCTAAAAATCTCACCACACACTTCTCTCTAACTGAATCCCCTATAACCAAACCAACATAATTGAACCAGGTGCCGTGGAGAGCCCAATTGTTTTCCTTGTTGCCGAACTCCGGCTCTCTGGCACGCCCAATGGATGTATGAGTGGCCCAACCTGGCGACCCAACCTACAAACGAAAAGTACATATTACCAAATACAAATTAAAGGGACCTACCACCCTTTTAAACCAAACGGCCCAGCCTAACATCCAACCAGAACCATACAGACTTCCACCGACCTAGGCTCCGGTGAAAAATAACTTGCACAAAATCTCTAAGGAAAACATCCTAAACCTCAAGATCCACCCTCATCATTGCCGTAATTCGGAAAAAGAACTGATCCCACAAGTAGCCATTGCGAGAAATCTACTAAAAACCCGTCCCACTGGTACGACCCGACAAGCAAAATTCAGGTGACCTAACAAGGATTGCAGCGCCCGCAGCGTAATCTTCCGTGCCATCTGCACTTCACGAACCGCCCTCCGAAGCACGGTCAACTTGTCAGCTGGTAGGTATCATTCCCCTGCCACCGAATCTATCTCCAGACCGAGAAAACTGAGACATGTAGCTGGTCCCAA